TTTTTTTCTGGGCATGGTGTCACTCCCATAATCCCAGCAAACCTGAAATCCTTCCTTCTGAGGCAGGAAGACCATGAATTCTAGGCCAGTCCTAGCTTTATAAAGAAGCTGTGTCTCAAAGAAAACCATAAACTAAACAAAAATAATAATTTTTAAAAACCCAAACCAAGCCAAACAAACAAACTGTATTGGGGGGAAAAATAGAAGGAAATATTTCTTGTGTTTTGTTACCATATTATCATGGCAATATTTTTAAAACATGATGTGCTCTTTAGTGGGAGTTTACATCAAAACTGTAAGTTACATGCCCTGATATGGATGTGTTGTTATTGTGTCCGGAATAATAATGCCGACTTTTACACTGATAGATTTAAAACACAGCAGCTGAAATGAATTAGGTCCTGGGAGTTTCTTGGCAGTGTATCAGATTCAGCTCAATCAATGGGGTACTGGACAAACTACTGAGTTCATTTGTCATTTTGTGCATATATAGCAGTATTCACGATCACACGGACTCCCACTGCTTCTTGAAGATGCTGCAAGGAAATCTAAAGGAGACATTGTTTGACTGGCCTGACAAAAAATCCAATGAGATGATCAAGAAGTCTGAAAGGACCTTGAGGGAAAACCAGTGTGCCTACATTAATGGTAACATACTTTTTCTATGAGCATGTAGGAAAAAACAAGCTCTTATTTATGCATGTTGATGGAAAATGGCCCAAATACAATGGGTTTCTAAGCAGGGTTGGAATCATTCATTCAAAACATATGAATGAAAATTATTATTCATTGGAAAGTCACTTACCTGCCCAAGTTTAGAACAAAGATTGTAGGATAAGAATTTATGCAAAAGAGTTGTGTCTACTTGGAAAACATATAGTGTGTCTGCATTAGAAAATGCAACATGTTCTGGAAGTGATTAAGAAACATTCGCTGGTGCCTATTTTTCTAAACTGTGTGCAGCATACCCAAAAGACTGTTCTCAAGGGAAATTTTGCAATGTGACTTATAGATATCTTACCAAGAATTTGTTCTTTCCCCTAAATGTCTTTTGGAATAGCCAGATGCTTCCCAGGACAGACTGTGGATTTACTTCTATTTCTAAAAAGGTCATAACTTTCCAAAAATTCACTAAAGCATATGAGAGTCATAATTTTTATTTCCATGTATATATGAGATTGCCAATACATATGAAAATTAAATAACTTGTCTATAGTCACTCAGGTTTTAAATAGTTAGCCAGTATGTTCCAAGAAGTTTGAGTCCAAACATATGCTTTTAATCAGGATGCTGTCCTGCTTATTTAAAATAAATTATTACAGTCTTTCTCTGGCAAGCACAGTATTTCCTTCATATATCTTAAAGTTTAGTATTGGCTTTGCTACTTGGCATTAAATTGTTAGGTTATTAGTTTAGGAATGCAGATCACTTACAATGATCAGATTGTATGAAAAATGCTTTCTCTTCTGTTCATATCACACAGGGCTATAGGTTTTCTCTGTAGACATTTTCACTTGCTTTCTCAAACGTTTGAAGGTTCCTATATAGAAGGCACACCACCTTAACAAGAACAGACTTGTCTCCTCTACCATAGCACAAGAAAGCTAAAACCTTCTTAGGATAATTACTTGCAGCTGGAATCAGAGTCTTTGAGAACAGACATTGTATATGGAAAAGAACTTTGTCAGGGGTCTCTAGTGCAGAAGCCTGTAGCAGCCAAGCATCTAAGTTGAAAGAGGGAGCTGCAGACTTGGGATTAAAAAGCTTTGGGAATGACTTGATGAACACGAAAGGGACAGCAGTGGTCACTAACCCCAGTGAGACTGTTCTGATTCTTTTTTCCATAAAAGCATTAAGTTCTGATTTTTAAAGTTAATTTAATTGCCAATTAGTAAAATGTGGGATGAGCTATACTGAATATTTTTGTAGACTAATTACTCAAATACATAGTTTTCAGCCTCTGGTTTTCACAGATTAGGGATGACCATAGATTTGCTCAGGAGGAGGTTCCCAGTCCAGGAAAGGGTTACAGTCCTTGTAGAGAATGGGGGCAAATGGAAAGGAAGAAGGAAGGTGGGGTTGGCAAGAGGTGTTAGGAGACTATAAACAAGATCAAGACAAGGGCCTCAAAGAGCAATGGAGAGATTAGTTTTCTGCAGAATGTCTTGGTAGCAACAAAGAGCATACGGTGTTGGTGAGAGGAGACTTGGAAGAGAGACCCAGGAGCCTGTTTCAATTTGGAGAAGGTCAACAGGACCTTGACTAACTGACCTTAATAAAAAGCACCAAGAAAGGTCCAGTAAGACTGTAACAGAGGGTATACTGGACACTGAAAGGAAAAAGAGGCAAAGATTAACATGCTAGGACTATGAACAGTGAGTTTCATGCATGAGCCCTGTGCTCTTCTAAAGGATGAGTGACCTGATCTTAGGGTCTTTGACTGCAGAACTGTCCATTGTGAGCTGGCTGGTTTATTTGTATACAGAGAATTCAGTTGTTAGCCCTGAATGCTCATTCTGAATTGTGCAAAAGCTACTGCTAGATCACCTTGGTTTTATTACTGCAAAGTGTTGGTGTGCCATGTAATTCCAGCACTCAGGAGGCTGAGACAGGAGGACTTTTTTTTACAAGTTTGAAGCAAGCCTGAGCTACATAGTGAGTTCAGTGTCAGCTTGGGAGATACTGAGAAATCCTGTCTAAGAGAGAAAGAGAGAATATTGGGCTGGGCATAGCAGCTTACTCCTTTAACCTCAGCACTTAGGAGGCAGTTGGGTCTCTGTTACCTGGAGGCCAGCCTGATCTACAGGATGGCCAGAGCTACCTAGAGAGATCCTGTCATTAAAAAAAAAAAAAAAAAAATTTAAGAGGGGGAAAGGAGAAGGAGAGAGGGAGGGGGAGAGAGGAAAGGAAGGGCAGAGGAGGGAGAGAGAGAGAGAGAGAGAATACATTGTTTTTTTAATCTTCTTGGAAATAGTTTTTCCTGTCTAGATTAGTTATCTCTAGGCTCACTTGACAGAGCTCACTGTCAAGCTACAGGTCCCCTTAATGTCATCCAAGCCTTCTTTTTGTTTTTTTCCTGTGTTAAAACTTATTTCCTGAACTCATACTTTGTTTGTTCTTTGTTCACACGCTCATTTGGGTAAGCAGATCTTCCGGTGTCCCTTCATGAAAGGAGTCATGGATGGTACATTTTTGAGACTTCCTAATATCTGCAGACAACAACAACAAAAACCCACCCTGGCTTCAAATCTTATAGCTTGATAGATGAATCAGCTGGATGTGGATAGTGACCTGTCAGTCACTGCCCCTCGGAAGTCTGTGTCATTGTCTTCTAGTGTATCCTATTCCTGTTTAAAGTCCATTGCCATTCTGACTCTTACCTCTCTGAAAGATCTTCTGGAAATGTTTGGACTCCCATGTGGTGCCTGCATTCTGCCCATGTTGTTTTGCAGTCATAGGTCACCTAAGGACTTCCTGTTCTGCCAGGCTCTTGTGTTCAGTTTGGACAGCTGAGTGTGCCCATCAACCCAAGAAATATCCTCATGTTGTTCCTTCGAGTTCTGCTTCTGAGAAGCCTCTTATTTGGATAATCTTTGCCCTCTGGTTCTTTGGGTCTACCTCAACTTTTTCTGCCAGCCCTTCTGTTCAGGTTTTGTTTTATTTGGCAGTCCTCCTGCCTCTGCCTCTTCAGCAGCATTTTCTATAGGTGTGTGCCACCACATCTGGATGTCTATTTCTTTTGAGAAGCCTGTTGGAGGCTGGGGTGTAGCCTTGCTGGTAGAGTGCTTGCCTACCATGCATGCACAGGGTCCTGGCTTCAATCCCAACTTCCACATAAACCAGCCCAGCACTTAGGAGGTGTGGAAAGGAGAATCAGAAGTCCAAGATGACCGTGGGCTACATGAGACTCTCTTCAGGAATAAATAAATGAAAACAAAAATTCTTTTGATTTCTTTCTCCCTTCTGGGCATATTTGTCTCAGGGAGAATGCTAATAATAGGTTTTCCCGGGTCCTCTCAACTGCAACTTGCTTTTCTAGGCTGCTCAAGGCCACTCTCTGTCCTGAGCTAGAGGTTAATTCAGTTGTGTGCTCGTGTATAAAATCCAGGGACAAAAAAGTTCACTTCGTGGCTCTGAACACAGGATGGGGCTTGTTGACAGAATATCTCTCTATGTCTCTCTCTCTCTGTGTATCTCTCTCTCAGGGTCAGGCACAGCCCTTTAGCAGAGGAGAGGTTTCAGTGGCAGGATGCTTGGGGCTTTTCTGTGAGCTGGTGAGACTCCTTAAGGAGTTGCTTGCATCTCCACCTGGAGAAGGAAATCCTGGCTGGTGGCTGCTGGTGAGGAAAGCAGGACTCTTGCCATTCATGTGTGGCTTGTTGCTTCACTCGCTTGTTTTTACCATGGTATCTACCCGTCCTGAGTTCCGCCATTTTACTCCTTCTAGGTCTAGATAGCAAATCTCTGTCTTTTGGGGTTGGAAGTATGGAGGGGAAGGAGATGGTGAAATGGAATTTGAGACTCCACCTCCTAAGTAGCCTTTCAGTTAGTGAGTCCTCACTCATCTCCAGGAGTACTTGGTACTACCAATTCCTTAGCTACTTGAGAGTTTCAAAATGGGGGGTTGGGGTCTTTTGCTTTTGGTTTTTGGGTTTGGGTTTGGTTTTGGTTTGCTTTTTTTTTTTAAGTTCTTATGAATATTTCCTTTTTTCCTGTTTTCTTTCTCAAATGGCACTTACTATACATATCAGGGAGTTTGATCCTAATGTATATTCATTCCATAGTCATCAATGTCAGTTATGGTGATTAAGAAAGTTTTTGCCTTCAGCTGCCATCTTGACTCCTTCGTTGCTTTCTGTCCTCTTTTGTCTGTTCAGACTCCATTGGATTACACCGAGTGGAGAACATCAGCCACACAGAGCCTGCCGTGAGCCTTCACTTGTACAGCCCACCTTTTGACACATGCCATGCTTTTGATCAGAGGACAGGGCATAAAAACAAAGTCACCATGACATTCCACAGCAAATTCGGAATCAGGACTCCATTTGTAAGTATAGTTTCCTGCCTTCAAATGACTCGGAAGGAGCTAGAGAGATGGCTCAGCAGTTAAGAGCGCTTGTTACTCTTGCAGGGAACCCAGATTCAGTTCCCAGGATCCACATGGGGTCCACACCATCCTCACTCCATCTCCAGGGGATCTGATGCCAATGTCCACCTCGTGTGCACATTGTGCACAGATGTGCATGCCATATACATACCCCTGTACACATGAAATAACTCTAAAAAAATACATGACTTAGGGGTTAGCGATAGTGATTGCCCGGAGGTTTTTGTTGTTCTAAGTGTTATTTAATGTGCTGGAGAGATGGCTTAGGAGGTAAGAGCTTCCAGTGCTCTTGCAGAAGACCTGCATTTGGTTCCCAGGACTCAAATCAAGCTGCTCACAACTGCCTTTAACCCCAGCTGCAGGAAGATTTAATGCCTCTGGACCCTTTGGGCCCTTTCATTCACCTGCACATATTCACACACAAGCACACACGTACATATTATTTAAAAAATTAAAATATAAGCATTATTTAAATATTATAAATCTAAGATATTCCTGAATGGGATCTCAGGATCTAAAAAAAAAAAAAAAAGTCTAATCCATCCTACTTCTTTGAAGATAATTTATTTTTAAAACTTAAATTAGATGATAAGACTTGTTTCTTGAGAAACTTCAATATTTATGTTCATTCCTAAAGAAAATGTTTTCTCCACTTGGGAAATAAGAATGAAGTCTTTAATTGGCCTTTTTCCAACCGCCATGACAATGTTTAGAAGTCTAGTTTACTGGGACATCAATAAATTGCATTTTCTGAGACTTTCAGAAGCCCGTGTTCATTGAGATGTGATGTTCTTAGACCACAAATACTTTGGGATATGCTAAGACAACCTTTTTGTAGGACAAGCATTCCCCCCGTAAGGCAACCAACATTACTGTGGTAGGATTATCTTCTGCCGTTGAGGAAATAAAGAGTAGAATGTCTTCATTTAATATGAGTGAAGTAAATGGAAAGAGGATGCTGTAATTCTTGGGTAACTTGCTGCCCTGTTTTGCCTTTGTCTTCCACGTTCAGAACCCACCACAAGAAGAAAGCTGTCAGGCTCCTTTGCCGTGGCCAGACTTTCAGCTCTGCTTGAGATACGAGGCCACTTAGAGCAGTGTTCCTCACCCTTCCTAATGCTGTGACCCCTTAGTACAGTTCCTCGTGTTGTGGTGACCCCAAACATAAAATTATTTTCATTGCTACTTTATAACTATAATTTTTTTTTACTGTTATCAATTATAATGTAAATATCTGTGTTTTCCCATGGTCTTTCCGGGGGTTGGGGAAGACTGTGACCCATAGGCTGACAACCACTGACTTAGAACAAGCTTATATGCCCTGTGTAAAAATCCTTATACAGGTTTCTCTTCTCCTTTCTTACAGCCAATGTCAGGTTCACTGGAGAACAACTAAGGCATACCAAGTCCTTCGAAGTTTTGCTTCTGAATGTTTGCTTGGACAGAGAGCCCTCCCCCCACCATTTTCTGTTCAGTTACACAGTTAAATAAATGCATGCTAAGTTCTACTGCAAAGTGGGTGTGCTAAGGAAGCCAGCAATGCCCTGAGCTGTGCAGGAGAAAATCCTCACTGAAGAAAAAACCAATTGGTTTTTAGTGGCCAGATCACATTGCTCTGTGTTCCTCTGTCCTTTCATGGAAACTCTACTGGTGAGTTTCAGTGGGGATGTTTTTCCGCTATAGGAAACACCTTGGTCTCTGATAATCAATAAGTGAAAGTGAGAAACCACAAACTATCAAATGTTTTCATACCTGGAAGACTAAATGTAGCAACCTTTAATATACTTTGTATGTTCTTAATATTTGACAAGAAATGTTTAAATCTGGGTTTTTTTTTTTTTTTTTCAACCCTAGTTGACAAATTCCTGTGCTGTGGAGAACAGGGACACGGATAGCGGTTTGTTGCTTGGTAGTGAGGGGCAGAGGGGTTAGAAATACACATGTACCCAGGCCTCCTGCAAACAAAAATGCAAACCCAGGTGTAGTGTGTCCACCCACCTTGAACTGCCTTCATAATGGCCAAACAGCTTTAATAAAACCGGATTTGAGAAGTAAACATTGCCTTTTTGACACATATGGTTAAAAAAAATCATAAGTGATAATTTCTTAGATTTTGATAATTGACCAAAGCAGTGTAAAAATAATATTTGTTTTGGGACTGTGTGTGTGTGTGTGTGTGTGTGTGTGTGTGTGTGTGTGTGTGTGTGGTGTTGCCGGGGATCAAACTCAGGGCTTCTTGCATAGTAGGTGAGTACTTCATCACTGAGCAATAAATACCCCATCCTTAATGATGCTTCTGTGATAACAGGATTGTGAAGGTCAAATAACCAAAAAACGTAGTCGCCTAAAGCGATGCACATTTACAGTTTGCTGTGAGCTCTGTCATGGAAGTCTAACAGTTTCACAGTGCTAATCAGGACTTTGTCCCTTTCTGTAGTTTCTGAGTAGGAGCTGTGTTGAAGTTCCCCAGCATCTTGCCTCTGGCGCTTTCTATCTCCAAAGCCAGCAATGGCAGTTTCATCTGCACACACCATCACTTCTATTACCTTCCATTTCTGTTTTCTACATTGAGGGGCTCGTGATAGGATGATGTCTCCATCTCAAGGTTGCGCCCTTAATCCTATCTCTTGCCACAGGCAGTAACATTAATAGGCCATTAGAATGTTGGTGGTTCTGGCAAGGGGTCCTCCTGTTTAACCCAATCTATTCTCTGGCCCTCAGTGAGCACAGTCTACCTGCCATGGCAGACATATATAGTCACTATTCCTAGGTCTCCTCATCCCAGTATAATTGCAAAGTCCAAAAGTCTGACCCAAATCTCACTGAAGTTAAGTATGAGGAAGACTTATGTGGTACTATTCCTGGGGAAACGAACAGACATCTCTCACCCCAGATGGGGAGCTGACAGTAGACCAAAGGAAGGACAAAGTCCAGTGTCCAGAACCAATGCGTTTTATTAGGATTTTGCAGGGATGTGAGTGAGGGGTTCCTGACCGACAGAAATTACTCAAAGGCAGTTGCATCACCAAAAGCCCACCCCAGCGTGAGTGACAGCTCATAAGAGCAGGAGATATGGAGCACACTGCTTAGCCTGCAGGCAGCTCAATGGGTTAGAGGGTACCCTTTTCAGGCAGGTCGATGGGTCTAAGCCTCTTCCAGGCAGCTTGGCTGGTCTCTGCTTCTTCCAGACAGCCCTGTCCCAGTCTGCCTCTTCCAGACTGGTATGTGAGTCTTCTCCACCTATAACTCCACTGGTCTTGGCCCCTTTAAAGTGGCTCAGCTGGTCTGAGAGTTTTTTCTCAGCAGTCATTACTGCTTAAATATGCTCGTCGCAGAGGAATGCTGGTACATCTGGTCACTTTCTGAGGCTTTTGAGACGTTTACTTCTGAAGGCTAAGGAGGATCGCTTTAAAATGAAATGTTTTCCCTCCCTTTAGGACATGTGTGTCTTAACAAGGTTCCCTCCAAGATGAAAGCTTTTATATTGCAGGAGATCACTGGGCAGCGCTGTTGTTATCCACTCTCTAACACCATCCCTCTGTATACATGGACACACTGAGTTCAGAAATATGCCAGAGGTCCCCAACCAAAATGTTAGAAGTCTAGGGCTTACATCCAGGACTGGATCTCATTAAACTCACTCTCCTATTATTAAATCATTCACAGGAAAAGCATCCAGAGCCACTTCTATTTTTGTACCATTATATTAAGACAAAAAAGTAAGTGTGGTTGTTTATTTTATACTCATATATGTAACTATTTTAATGTGTACTATTCTTGTGGTTTCATATATTATAATTTGTATTACGCTTAGTTAGTTGACTTTGTTAGTGTGTGAGTGTATGTGTGTGTGTGTCCATGAACCACAATGTGCATATGGAGATTAGAAAACAACATGTAAGAGTCAGTTCTCTCCTTTCACTATGTAGATTCCAGGAACTAAACTCGAGTTTTCTGACTTGGCAACAAGTGCCTTTACCTGCTGAGCCATCTCACCAGCCTGGTATACTTAAATCTTTAATAGACAGCACCTATAACACACACATGCTATGTGTGACAGGCATGCCAACATGTGAATTCAAGGATCCTTGTGAATCCAAGGCCCAACCCAGATGTCTCTGGTGGCAGAACTGCCCTCCCTGTCCCCAGTCTCTTTTCCTAGCCTTTATCTCCCTCCACTCATTATATGGTTCCTACAGGAGCTGCTTCTTGCAGGACTCAACATTGACTTTGGCCAATAAATGTCTATGCATGTGGCAAAGCATCAGATGGAGTAAGAAAACATTTGGGGCTGCTGTAATGCTTCACTGCTAAAAAGAGATATTAACATGCAAAGACTTGCGTGCCAGTAAGAAGATGGCTCAGAAGATAGCAGTGCTTGCTGTATGTGGTGGTTTGAACCTATAGCTGTGTGGCCCCTATAGGTTCATATATTTTAATGTTTGATTCAAATGTTGGTTGGAACTGTTTGGGACGGATTAGCAGGTGTGGCCTTGTTGAAGGAAGTATGTCACTGGGAGCTGGCTTTGTGGTTTCAAAAGCCCATACCATTCCCAGTTAGTTCTCTCTCTGTCTCATGCTTGTGGATCTGATGTAAGCCCTCAGCTACTATTCCTGCACCATGCCTGTCTGCCTGTTGCCATGTTCCCCAGCATGACAATTTGGAACCATGATCCCCCAAATTAAATGTGTCCCTTTATAAGTTGCCTTGTGTTTATCATGGCAATATTAAAGTAACTAAGACACTGTGTGAACCTAATCACCTGATTTTAATTTCTGGGACCCACCCTGGAGGGAGAGAACTGGTTCCTGAAAGTTGTCCTCTGACCTACACACACACACACACATACACACAAAAATAAACAGAGATAAAAATAAAGGGAGAAAAAGATTCAAAAGCCAGGACACCAGAGCATGCCCACAGGACTCATTGCCTCTTCACTCACCTCCATGCCACCTTATGTCAGCAAGGACCCCTCCTACTCTTCACACTCTTCAAATTCCAGCTTTCATGCGGAGTGCTGTGTGTGCCTGTCATCTGTGAACTGGGGAGGCTGAAGATGCAGAGCTCCATCTCAGTCTGAGAGTCATAGTAAGACCCAATCTCAAAACCAAACAAAAATGCAGAGCGAACAGACAGGCAAAAGTCCCACAGATTTAGGCCTCTGTTTCCTATCCCAGAGAGGAATTCTCCACCCCCACTAGTCCCGTTCCCCAGAGCAACTCTTCTGAGGATGCTATGCCTGTTCTTCACTCATTTATCACAGAGATCTTGGGGATAAGATACAAGCTTGCAAGGGGAGACATGATTTCCTTTCTGCTGTGTGCTGAGTATGAAGACATATAGTAGCTGTCCAGTATTTATGAAATAAATAGAAAAAAAGAAACTCAATCTCTTCACACAGTAATCTGATGTTCATGTATCCTGATGGTACAGGCCTCTCTGCAACCCACAGAATTAAATTATCAAAGTTGTTTTCATGAAGTATATCAATTCTGGGGATTTTTTTTTTCATCCACTAATTTTTTAAATAAGACCTATGTCAGTGAATTGTCTTTTGCCATGGTTTCATTAGTTACACATTTAAACAAATTAAGCTGATGAACCTTAAAGGGATTTTGAATATGTGTCATGGGAGACAGAAGCATTAATCATCCTATTTAGTTTCTTTTGATGGCTTTGAAAATCTTGGATACAAAAATTTAAAAAAGAAAACCAGAAATAAAAAAAAAAAACACAATTTGCACACAACTTCAGAAAGGATTCATGGACCCTCTCAAGGCCCCTGGGGCCTCTGGGTAAGTATTTTATTTCAGATGGGTGTGGTAGCATATGACTAATCCTAATCACTTGAGGGCTGGCAGAGACAGGAAGATCAGTTCAACATCTCCCTAGTTATGTAGTGACTTGGAGGCCAGCCTGAGCTACATGAGACCCTCAAAAACACAACACATAAAGCTGGAGGTGGTAGTGCATGCCTTTAAACATAGCACTCAGGAAGCTAGAGGTAAGGTGGCTCTCTGTGAGTGAGTTCAAAGCCAGTCTGCATAAGTGGACATGATTATCTAGATAAATCAAAGCCTAAAGGCATCTTCTGAACTTTCTCAACATTATACTTATATGATTCTTCAATTGTGGCATAACCTGAAGGAAGGAAGGAACTTCCTCAAATAAAGTTGAAAACAGAGTTTCCCACCAGCCTAGTAGATTGAACTACAGTTAAAATTAGTTAAACTCACAGAAAATGAAATTATACAGCTCCCAGTGGTGGTGAACACCCCTGCTGCTGTGGTCTGCATTCAGATTCATAAACTAGCGCTGCATCTGACTCCAGGACAGGAAATTTACAGGGAGCACTTGAGTTTCTAACTCAGAAAAAGTCCAAACCATGAACAGATACACACAGACACATGACATAAAAACGCAGGTTTCTTAGGATTTTACTGCTGTGAAGAGACATCATGACCACAGCAACTCTTATAAAGGAAAATATTTAATTGGAGTTGGCTTACAGCTCAGAGGTTTAGTCCATTATCATCATGGCTGGAAGCATGGCAGCATGCAGGCAGACGTGGTGCTGGAGAGGTAGCTGAAAGTTCTACAGCTGGATCCACAGGCAGCAGAAGGAAAGTGACATTGGGCCTGGCTTGGGCTTTTGAAACCCCAAGATCTCTCCTTAGTGACACAATTCCTCCAACAAGGCCAAACATCCTAATAGTGCCACTCCCTATGAGCCTATGGGGAGGCATTTTCATTCCAACCACATTCTATTCCCTGGCCCCTATAGGTCTGTGGCCATATTAGAATGCATAACAGGCAAAGTTGTTTGGGATCAGGTGAGCCTTTATAGGTTATAAAGCTGGAACATGCAATCGGTTCTGCCTTCTGGATATAAGCATGCCTGTGTTATAGCAAGATATACAAAATGGGCATTCTGTGCTTAGCAGGCAATAGACATTCACAGAGATACAAAATGTACATCATCAAAACACCATAATTAAAGGCTTTCTATAAATAGGTTCTAAACACAGAAGTCTTCAAGTCAAGAGATGAAT